AGAGGAGACGTCCATAGCACCACCTCTGCCTCTGCATTTTCTCTGTGTTCTCTAGACAAAAAGAGAGGGGATGTCGCGTGTGTCTTGCATGGTAGAAGTCTGTACGTGAGTGAGCGTCGCGGCGTATTTACTGTACTGAAAGTAAAAGTCAGCAGCAGAACATATAGATTCTGTGAATAGTTTCCTTGTGCAACAAGAATCCAACTAAATCACATCTCTCTTACTCGGCCGTCTCAACAAGAAGACAAGCTTTCGCCTCTCTCCATGTCATTCAATATTATTGAACCTGAAGCTTGTTGCTTCTGACCTGGGAGACCAACAGAGTAATTCCCCTGTTTCCTCCGACTACCGGCTGGCAGCAGACAGGAAAGTTCACCACAATGCATAATGAATGCTATCCATGCTATCTGACTCTACCTACTCTCCTGACGGTTTGTGATGTTAACTGGAATAATCGCTATTTGCCATTAGCATTTCCCCCAGAATAGCCAAACCTGAAAAGCCGATAAAGAACGACAATGCAATGTACAATAACGCATGACTTTTTAACCACTGGCGTTACATGTTAGCGCCCTACTATAAATTGTGGTGTATCGTAAGCTTGAGATAACATTTACGGGTTTTAGGGTTAGCAACTCACAGAAGGAGTATGCCTACACTAATTTTTTGCGCTAAAATACGAACAAGTGGATTCTTTTCCATTGCATTGTTCATGCGGTCCCGTAATCATATGATGCTCTGTGTATAAAGCGCTAAATGATTTTGGCATCATGGATGTTGTTTTTTTTATCAAAGAAGCCCCCTTCTGCCTGAAAAGGTCTGAGAGCTCCAGCCCGGGGTGTGTCTGTATTTGTCTGGGAAAGTATTTCCCCCCCTTTTTTACGATCCTGTAGATCAGAGGACGACCCTTTGTTTTATCAGCTGTGAGAGCAGCAGTGTGATCTTGTTGCCTTTTTTTCTCTGATGCCTGTTTAAAAAACTATAGGAGTAGAAAGATCAATGAGTGATCCTGAAGTTGGAGTGAATACTTAAATTAAATAGATTAATGTGGTGATTTGAAGTAGTAAGGATCATATGAAATAAATAGGAGACAATGATTTTGCGCCTCGCTATTTAAACCATTAGTCTTTGAGTAACTGATTGTTACCATTGCATTGTGAATTTCATGGTAATCTTGTCTATTTAACTAAGAATTGTACCCTAGATTATATTCAACAGGAAAAAATTATTACATACAGTACATTAAGGAAAGAAAACGAGATGTTACTGATATATGAAGTGCTATATTGAAATAAAAAAGATTTAGTTTTTAGTTTTCACCTAGAATAAATATAGAGTACACAGCATTTTGTTATACTATTTAAAAAAAAAAAAAAGAACGAGAAAAAATACAAAAAACATCAAAAAAAATACAAAAATACACATATATATATATTATTCTATATATTCATATCTAATCTATCTCTCTCTATTATCAATCTAGTCTCTATATCGTCAATTTATATATAGTATTCTCCTAATATATATATATATATCTATGTATATATACCTATATATTAATATATATATATTATATACTAAATATATTATTATATTTATTTATTATATATATATTATATATATATGTAACAATAAGATTAACTAAATCAATAGGGTTACAATCCTTCAAGGGGGTCGCTATGGGCCAACTAATAGCAGCCCTCAGAAGTACCACCAAGGCCCCTGCCAAATGTGGCGCATATGTATGTATGACAAATATGGTAATTCAGTGGGGCCATAACATTTTTGCCAAAATTGCATGGCAATTTTGGGATTTCTCAAAGTGGGAGTTTTCACCATGCCCTCTTTGATATCACTGCGAAAAGATGTCGAGAGGTTTTGAAGATCAGATTAAAAGACAAAAGTAAGTGCCTGTAAAAAGCCGCTGTGCATAAGGAAATAGCTAAACAGCTTGAAGGCGTTTGAAACTCTTTGGAATAGGCTAGCTGAATATAGAAAGAGGTATAGAGCTCAAGCGCTGTGGTACGAGTGGTAGTGGATGGCTCTCCATTGAGGTTCCCGGCGCCTTCAGCATAGCAGTGAACAGATGATAAATATGATTCCTTAAGGCCTGTTTGAAGAGGAGACAGGGCTCAGAGTTTAGCCAAGAATGGTCTCAAGATGGCTTCTTTTGAAAATTCTGACATAGCAATGTTGAAACGACCTCATTGATTCGTACAAGCCCTCGACACCGTTGTGCCACGAACAACTTTTTGGAAGTAATCTCAGGTGCTGCGTCGCAGCATTCAGAGTAATTTGCTCACATTGGGTTCAACGCGTCAGAGCGAGCAAGTCATTTCATTGGACGAGAGGCATACTATGAGAGCTGGTCACAGGGATGCGTTCAAATTTAGTCAGTAATTTGAGGAACTGTCGAAATGGCGAACGCAGATAAAGTTGAGCTCGAAAATCCTCCAGCATCATTGAAGTCTCCGGTTTGGGAACATTTTGGTTTCACAGTTACGTACAAGGATGACGGACAAAGACAGGTGGACCGAACCAAAGCTGTTTGTCGGCATTGTTCAACTAAAATTGGTTACGCGGCTGGCAATACATCAAACTTGCACACTCATTTGAAAAGGCATCACCCGAACGTGAATATCACCGGTACCAAAAGAAAAAAGACTGAAGTGCAAACCCAACTCCCACTAGCATTTAAGCCTCCACCACTCACAAAAAGTTCAGACCGAGCCAAAGCTATTACAAACGCCAAATATCCTTATGTTGCTATGTTAGCAAAGCACTACCTGGCTGTATCTGCTACCTCTGTCCCTAGCGAGAGGGTGTTCTCCACAGCAGGAGACATTGTTAGTGCCAGCAGATCTGCCATTTTGGCAAGCAATGTGGACGCAAAGTAAATTTTTCTAAAAACATGAAAATACAATGACAAGCAAGTTATAATGTCAAACTGGCTGCTTAGGTACGAGTACAGTAGCCTACAGTTCAAATACAGATTATTTCAGTTCATCAAAATGCTGCACCTTAATGTTTATTTGTATTGTATTTTGTATTTATTTGAGTGAATATTCAGTTTAATAATAATTAAAAACCCAAAACTAATAGTTTATGTTTTGTGAGTACTAGTACAGTAAAGTTTAAATACAGATTATTTCAGTTCATCGAAATGCTGCACCTTAATGTTTATATTATTATATTTTGTATTTATTTGAGTGAATACATTATTCACAGTTTAATAATAATTAAAAAAATATATATATATATATTTTATGATAATTTTTTCTGCTGTACCGAAAACGTACCGAACCGAACCGTGACCTAAAAACCGAGGTACGTACCGAACCGAAATGTTTGTGAACCGTTACACCCCTAATGTTTACACTTTAGTATAGCTAGTTTTACTCAAGTCCACAATCTGAGTACTTCTTCCACCACTGGTTTATTGATATCTAGAGCCACACATGGATCAGCGGTGCCTCTCTGACCTGTGCCCGGCTGAGGACTGCCTCCCTCGGCTCTTCTCCATCCTCCTCCCCCAGCGGCTGTCCGGTAGTCTCCTCTGCGGCAGCGGGATGACATGCTGCAGGTAAAGCTCTGTGAGCCGGTCCCGACTATCACAGCCTCTGGTGCTGACGTTTTTCTGATTCAGAAATAAATCACTGTTAGCTCAGCTCATTCAAACTGCCGCTGATGAAACACACACACACACACACACACTGTTAGCCGGTATGCTAACATGAGGGTGTATTTCCTTAACCTACACATTCAATGACACTGTACACGTTTCTCTATTAACTTTAGCTCACCCCACACAAGACAAGCTGCAAAAACTCTGGGGACATCAGCTCAGGGTGCAATAATAGATCCACATCCAAGGAGCTGGCTGTCTTTCCATCTTGTTCCGTGTAAGCCGCCATGCTGGATGCGTCACTTTTCCCAGCATGCACCGGCTCATAACAACACGGTATGTAATTCACTCTTCCATGCTATTTCAAAAGAAAATGATATGTGCTGTATAAAAAGACATATATTCTGTAAGAAAATACATATATAATGTAACAAAGACAAATAAGATATAAAAAAACAAACATATATGATGGAAAACAACACATATGCTGTAAAAAAATACCTATATCGTGTACAAAAGACATGCTGTAAAATATATATGCACTAGGGAGATTTAAAATGTATATTTACAATTCTTGTAATCTGTGTAATTAACACAAAGACACAATATCTCAGGTATTATATCAGTGTTTGTACAACTTCAGGAGGAGGACATTTTTATAAACTTTCAAGGTGATGCATTTGATACAAATATTGTTTTTTCTTTATTCAACTAATTTTATGTTGGAGAAATGTTGCATTTACAAGAAGACATTGAATCACTCTATACCACAGTTGTACATAGAATTACAACAATATGGCAGCACTATTAAAGATATAAAAAACTAAGAAGGCAATCCAAACCAAACGTGTATTTATGTATATCCCTTTTTTTCACAGGGGATGCAAACTGCATTCTCCTTGGTGAAGCTTCTGTGTTACTTTGCCAAATCTTTCCAGTCCTATTTGTCGTGTTGGGAAGTGTGTTTCACAGCTTCACATCAATGTACCTGAGCTTTTTGGTTGTGGACCCACAAACAAACCAAAACCAAAAGGTCCCAGAGCGAGAGCCATGCATAGAAAGGAATGAGTTAAAAAATAATCAATGGTTTGCCTTTCAAATGGCTGGATGATTGGAGGGATTGACAAACTGACCGACAACATTTCAGGAACTACTGCAGCATTGGAGGAGTTGTCATGTCCTCGGATTAGAAAGTTAGGGACGTAATTGATTGAGTTAGGGATAATAATGGGATGTAAAGGCAACCATGAGGCCTTCATTTGCTGTCATGAGTTGGCACATGAGTACAGATATTAGGGCCTATTCACATTTTATACTGATTGTATTGACTCTTTTTCAGTGTGTGTACAGTTAATGGTAATTTTTGAATGTAAACCACTTACCCTTTTACCGTACACATCAAATAATCAACATATATTAAGAAGGGAGGAAAGTAAATATTTACAGCTTTCAAATTGGAGACCAAATGAGTAGGCCTACGTGTTGTATCACTGTGGTTCAGAATAATGTAAAAAACAATCAATCTTCATGAAATATTATTTAATTTGTTACCATTAAACAGTATCAGGGGCAGTGATTGAAAATGTGCATATGAACTTTAGATCTGACATCTTAAAGGTGGGGTAGGTAATTTTGGAGAAACCAGCTCGAGTGCGCTAGAATTTGAAAATACACGGCCGGAACAAATCTGCCACTTCCTTACAGAGCCCCTCCTCCAACACACACGAACGCGCACATGACCAATGAGGGCACGAGATAAGTTTGTGCACAGATGGAAGGCTGACAGGCAGGTAGGTAGGCCATCCAGTTATTTTAGCCAGGCCGGCTAAAATGATTGGTCGTGCTTTTTACAGCACCACGGCTTCCACCGATGAAATCTTTTTATGGGTTTTTTGTTTTTTCTAACCTGCAAGTCGCTCTTTAATGGATTTTTTTGTCAAAGCACTTAAGATATTCATTGCTATCGGGATGTTAAGAGCATTCCATGGAATATAACAAAAAGTGTATCTCGAGTCGGTTTCTCAAACTTAACTACATACATACCTACTTACCTTTAACTAAAAGTAGCAAATCAAAATTGTAATATTTTATTTTTAAAGAGGACATAATATTACGCTCATTTTCAGGCAATTTTTCTTATTCAGTGTCTCTACTGGGACATGTCTCCATGCTTTAGTGTTCAAAAAGCTCATAATGCCTGTGCTGCAGCACCTCTTTTCACTCTCTGTCTGAAACCAGAGCCCAGTCTGCTCTGATTGGTTAGCTGGCCGGATCTGTTGTGATTGCTCAACTACTTAAAGATTGTCCCGCCCATTAGCCTATCACCTAAAATGTATTGGAACGCTAGCCAATAGAAGTTGTACGTACTGTAGTGATGTCACTATGTTACGGAATTAAACAAAGGAATCCAATGGTGGGCGTTTTCAGTGTCTTTGAAGGAAACTCACTCTGGAGGGAGCTTTGGGATTTTACCCTTTGCAGACCATTTACATGCACAAAAACCTGTATCACACACGACCCAAAATCATAACGGGGCCTATTTAAATTTTTCTTTTTCTGTTTGCATACAAGAAAAGTGATATATGTAAGTGAGAATTACCAAATCTCTGGGAGCGTCTGAGTTATGTTACTGTATGTTATAAATATGAATGTTTCTTTTGGGTTTTTTACACACCTGGTTCAATAACGGCCTGAGGGTGTTTTTATAATCCTGGATTTATGAAACAGAGCCAGAAGAGAAATGAGATCTGAATGGCATTAAAAGTGAACTTATTCTTTAAACTCTGATGTGAGACGAACACAGAGAGCAGCTACAATAATCCTAGCTGTTTCTCTTCAGAGTTTAAAGAATAAGTTCACTTTTAATGCCATTCAGATCTCATTTCTNGGGAGACAACAGAGGTGCCGATGTTGATTGTTAGGTCAAGAGTGGGACAATCTTTTCCCGGAAGGAAAAGCAGTTCAGTCTTGTCAAGGTTGAGCTTGAGGTGATGAGCAGACATCCACTGAGAGATGTCTGCTAGGCTTTCATACTTAAAGTTTTCTGCAGTTCTTACTGATACAGAGACAGACATTTCGATCATCTGTCCCACCTCCATGATCATACCGAGATTTAATGGTCTTCATCTCAAATGGAGTTAATGACCCAATGTTATTTATTTACATTAACAAAAGTAAAATTTTACTTTAAATACATTAACGTTGATTTTAATATCCTCTCTTTCCTCATTCAGATTCATACGCCTCTCTCAATCATTTCAGACATTCGCATGTAAAAATGATTTATAAATTAATAGTGCAGAGATATAAATGATATATGGTGAAATAGAGGTGGCACGACACACAACATAGGTGCGGATGACAAAGTTGAATATTATATTGACTCTAAAAGGTCACTGCATTTGTGATGGTCAAGCATGTAATTGTAAAGTAATCATATACTTGTGCATTTAATCAACGTTTGGGTTTGTTTAGGATTTTAATGCAGTGTTGAATCAACAAAAAAAAGTATTATTGGAATAAATAGTCTCTCTTTAGCAGAAAATCAAGACCAAAACCACCAGACTCAGGGTAAGTTTCATCCCACAGGCCATTATACTATTACACCTGAGCTTGCACTATTTAATTTTTATTGTTGTTTTTTTATATTTATTGTTGTAAGTCTTGTAAATTGCACAGTTGAAGAACCTGCAATCTAAGTTTTTAATACATTACATCGTAGTTTTGTATATGTCATGACAATAAGACCTTTGAATCTGAATTTGAGATTCCCTCTCCGGAGGACAGGAAAATATCTACCCTTCTCCTTTCATCTCTTTTATCTCTGCTCAGCGCTGTGATCTCAGGCCACATCTGACCAACAGAGGGCAGTGCTGATCTGACAAAACAAAAAATATGAAGAAAAGGATCACTGCACACCTACACCCAATAAGATCATCACCACTCCTAACAATCTTTAGCGTATAATCAGAATCTTAACGTCAAAAAAATAATTTAAATATATTTTTTGTTTTACAAATTCACACAGCAGGATTTTTTTTTGTTGATGAATGTGGATTAAACCGATAAGAAGACACAGATATGAAGAAAAGAGACGGTTTGGTAGTCAGGAAGGAGGAGAAAAAGAGAAACTAAAGACAGAAGCAGGGAAAGTGAGGGATGGCGATTCCCCTCTCGGCCTCCCCTGTGGCTGGACTTGTCTCTGCTAATGACCCTGTCTGCTGGCTCACACAGACAGATGGTGAATTAACTCCAATTAGCCCATTCTCACCAGATATCCTCTGACAGCTCACACACACACACACACACACACACACACACACACACACACACACACACACACACACACACACACACACACACACACACACACACAAATAATCAGAAAAACCTGAAGCAGCTACATTTTCTCATCTTAGATTTTGTCAGAAAGTGTTGCATAAAAATGAAGGCTGTTTTATTCACAATGTATTTGATATTTAAAATTGAATTTAGCTCATATGGGATTTGAGCATTGTGTGTTATATGCTCAACGTATATTTAAAGAAGAAGTTGCTGTAGGATAGAAACTTGTGAGTCACATTTTGTCATCGTGGTTAACACATGCACTGTTTTACACACTTTCTCAGACACACACAAAAACCATAGACTGGAGACAGTTACCAGTGTGTGACTGTGACCTCCTGTCATTGTGTTCAGAGTTAGTGAGGTGTGACCGGTCATCGTTCATACGGTGCACATTGTGTGACTGACTGAACCCACATGACATGTCAAACAGAGCGTAGTGTGTGTGTGTGTGTGTGTGTGTGTGTGTGTGTGTGTGTGTGTGTGTGTGTGTGTGTGTGTGTGTGTGTGTGTGTGTGTGTGTGTCTCCACAGAGCTGTTTGTCAATATGATTGTCACTCACAGAGGACACGTATGCTTTTCGATTCATCACACTGAGGAGAACATGTCTCTTCCAGGAAACTGTCTTGGTGTTAACAGGTGTTGTCCCTGCTGCTAAAAGGGCTCCATCTGGGGGTGTGATTGGGCGGCCCCCGGCGACCTCTCACCTCTTCTGTAAACCGGGTCGGCAGGAGCTGAGCGCAGGGCAAAAGGTCAGCAGGTCAGCCACATACGCAGCCAGACACAATAACATTATCGAACACCGCTGCAATACAAACACTCTCATATTGCAGCAACATGACAGGCCATAAGCTTTTCCATCTATAGGAAGTGTACGTACACGCTGCCTGTGCATGTGAGTGAAAGTGTGTGTGAGTGTGTGTTTGAGCAGAGTGGAGTAATCCCTTTAAATCACTTTAGCTGTTCTGATCT